AAGAGATTTTATCTCCACCTTCTGAGGCGGTATATTATCCCTAATGGTATGTTTGACTTCTGAATTAAAATTTAAATTTAATTCTCAATTTTCCTAAAGAAAATTAATTTAGATTTATTTTGCACCTTGCAAGGCAAATCATCTTTCCAACACCAATATATATCTAAGAAAGGATTAGAATAGACATTGCAAAAATTCAGGAGCTTGAAAAACTTCCTCCACCCAACTATGTTAAGGGGATTAGAAGCTTCTTAGGACATGTTAATTTTTATAGAAGATTTATAAAAGATTTCTCTAAAATTTTTAAGCCTTTATGTCATTTGTTAGAGAAAGATGTTCCTTTTATATTTGACTATGCATGCATAAAGCTTTTAATACTCTCAAGCATCATTTGACTATTGCTCTTGTTATTATTGCTCTTTATTGGTCATTAACTTTTATAGTGATGTGTGATGTCAGTGATGTTGGTGTAGTTCTGAGGCAAAAGAGAGATAAGAAATTCTATGTCATTTTCTATTATAGCAAAACTTTGAATTCTACTCAAACTAATTATACAACCACTGAAAAAGAATTGTCAACTATTGTTTTGCTTTTGATAAGTTTAGATATTATTTGATTGGGATTAAGGTTATTACACAAAATTTATTTTCTTTTGCTGTAGAATGAAGGAATGGTCGTTTGCACAGAGTTCAAAGATGCTATCTTGGAGGTAAAATCCTTGTGCGATATTGAGATTGCAGTTCTCCTTTATTCATAATCAATAAAATTTGATATAAAAACAGCTATTAATCTTAACTCTATTAATTTAAGCTATATTTATTTTCAACTTAAAATTTATTAATTTATTAAAAAGATGTTTTTGCTTCCATAAAGGTTATGCTTTCATCCAAATTAGTTCTATCAATGAGCATCTCATATTCTCATGTTCATTTATTCTATTTAGTGACTAAAGAAGCATGGATAAATTAGAATATATAACAAAATATTAATGTATGAGCATCCTAAAATTAAAGGGTTGTTTGGAATTATTTTTTATCTTTATTTTTTTCTATTTTAAAAAATATATTTGGGTTGTTTTCTTAACGAATATTTTAAAATAAGTCAAATTAATTTTTTTTTAATATTCGAAACAAAACTTTCAAATAAATTTTTATTTTTTATATTTTATTTTTTGATAACTTTGAAATACTAAAAGTAGGCGACACATACAAATCTTTATCTCCTCTTTGTATATTATGTGTTGGATTCTATGATTGAAAATATGAAAGGGATAATATATCGACATGGAGGAAAGATATATGATGAGTCAATCGTTTATAATGTGGTATATAATTTTTTTTGTTCAAATACAAAACAAAAGTAACACTTCCCTTAATTGCTTTGCACAATCCCTTAAATTCAAAATACAATTTAATTAATTCTATGTTAATTATGAGTTATTAGTAATTAAAAGATTTAATTAGTAGATTCATTCTTTTCTTATATATTATAGGCAAGATTGATTAAATGATGCTCCAAATCATTTTGCTCCACATAAGTACATGAAAGTATCAAATAACAAACCAAATATTTGAAACATGAGAGTTATATATTTTCGATCAATTATGAAAACTTCAGAGTTGTCTATTAGACTTACATACCAAGAAGGTATTAATTGGTGTTAACTATAAAGTGATATTTCTTCTAATTATTCTATTTTTTTGTTTACAAAATGGGATTGTAGCTTTAAGGTGCTAACATTTATCTTGGTAAAAGTATCATATTTATTCGAGTTGAATCACATGTAAACATATTTGTGAATTCATAAATCATTTTGGATAATATAAATTATTTTTGCTTTCTTTATTTGGCAAAGCTATTGCTTGTAGGTTTTTCCTTTAAGAACAAAATGCAAGAGGTACTTCCACTTTTGCCTAAAGCCTACCATACTCACATGCATCATTTTATGCAAAGCAACAAAAGAAGGTGATTGGTTTATTTTTCTCCTTCGTATTCAGTTCATTTTATTTTTTTCATACCACTGTTAATATTGTACAGTCTATCATTAATGACTCAATAGCCAACCATAATGTCTGATAATATTTTAATGTTAGTGATTATATATTATATTTCAGTTTTGATTATTGCTTTTGGCGCAAACATTCTATATTTATTCACCTTCATATATGTGTGAAAAAATGTGTTAGACATACAAATTCATTGTCATCTTTTTGAAGTTTCAACTTTGCTACCATATAAATGTATATATTTGATATCATCATACTTTTTAACTTGAATGACATTCTAATTCATAAATTGTAATTTTTTATGCCTTTTTTATTTATGTTTCGTTCTTTATCTAGAATCAAACTCGTGAATGTGCATTACGAGTAATGCTAAATATATGCTTCTTAATTGATCATCATAATTTAATATTCTTTAATTTGATTTAGAAAACATTGTCTTTCATGTAGGTTCTTGCATCAATTAATTTGTGGCTTAGAAAAATAAAATCGAAAATGTACTCATATGGCTTTGAAAATGTTTACTTTCACAGCATTTTTCCTTTTCAATTTTGCATGATGCAATCATGACAAAATAAAGTTGATTTGTGCCTAGATGAAGTAATGTTGAGCTATATCACTTTATTGCTGAAAAAAATAGTTGTATGTGATCAAGCATTGTTATATCTAATTAGCATGAAGAAAAAAAAATAAGTTAGTTTGATTTTATATTTTTAAAATTCTTAATAACAATTGTCAATCTATTTTTTGAGCAATTTTCCTTCTGTGAAGCTTTTGACATAATCAACTACATAACCTTTCATATTTTTGAAAAAATTAAATACATGCATTATAATATCTAATAGAATAAGTTGATGGTTAGTATCATTTGTCTGGCCGATATCACTAGTGATATCATTCCCATTGAATAAGTTCATTTTATTTTCACAATCATCTTGCAAGAGATCGATTTTTTTTTTTTTTTTTTTTTTGGAAATTTGGGGTGAAGACCATATATTAAATATACCAAAAATTACAGAGTTACAGAAAAGGAGGCTAGAAAACTAGTCAAAACCTATACCTGATAACCCCAATGAAGAGAACCAAAAATAAGAAAGGAAAACAATTAAAAAATAAACATGACTCAGTTAATCTGGAGACTGCCCAAGGACAAAAGTATCATAGCAAACAAGCTCAAAGGTCCAGTGCCAGCATAGTCCATCGAAAAAACTCCCTGGTTGCCAATGAAGAAAGACACCTGAGGGGGTGCACGATCAAACTACCAGGCCAGAAAAAAAAACCACAGGTGAAAAGAACCCCAAAGGCCGTCCAAAGGGAGAGGCACTAAGGCAGCTCCAGTCATCATCATCCAATCACAAAAACTGGTCGCAAAACAGCCATGATTCAACCTTCGGCGAAGGTTACCAACCAAAAACCATCTCTCAGAATTCATATGAGGCAAAGTGGAAGAAACATTCTCAAAACAGGCCCAAACGAGCCACCAGCAATCCCAGCAATCCCAAAAACCAAAAAACCAACTCCCAGAATTCAAGTGGAGAAAGCCACGGATCAACCCCCAGCAACGGCAACAACCCAAGATCCAGCTTCAAGATATCGTAAGAGGCATGTAGGATAGATCAATCTTAAAAAAGCCACCAGGTAACCTCGAGCAAGCCCAACATCCAAAATACCATCTCCGAGAAATTAAATAAAGCATTGAGGAAATGAAATGCTAAGCATGTCCCGATTTTTTCTCCCATACCATTTTTTAGAGATAGCCAAGACTAAATTTCGGCATAGAACCTGAGAGGAGGAAAGACAATCCGAGAATCTCCTATTGTTCCTCTCCCTCCAGATAAAGTAAACATCAGCACAAATAATAAAATAATAGAAATCCTTCTCCACCTTGTTATAAATGCTCGGCTCTTCAAAAAATTCAAATAATTGCAGTAGAGTAGGCCTAAACAGAAAGGATTCCACCACAGGTAGAAGATGGGTGATAACAGCAAAAGAGAAATTGCATTGGAAAAAAAATGTGAGAATCAGATTCTTCCCCCAGCCGGCAAAGGGGGCGGCAATTTGCATCAATAAAAATGTTTCTCCGAGCAAGATTATTAGCCAACTTTAATCCACCACGAATTAAAAGCCAAGAATAAGAAAAAAATCTAAGAGCTGCTCTTTTGTGCCAAATACAATGATGCAGTTAACATTATGCCTCCCATCAAAGAAATTTAATCTAAAAACATTAAAATTCGATTTTTCAATACCATTCCACCAAATGGTCTTAGCTATATGTACAAAAATTTTACTATTGATATTTTTAATGTTTTTTTTTAATATTGTTAACATACCCAATATTTTATTCAGTGATATTGTGGACACTAACTTCATTTTTTGGAGAATAATGCTGGTTGTGAGTTTTATTAATAATTGTAATAGTGATTAAAAAAAAACTATTAGTATTAGGCATTCTTTGAAATGTGATGATTGTTGTTTTAAGACTATTTAATTCTATTAAAAAAGAATATTAATTTTCTTACCAAATTGTTAAAAAGTAAATTTATTTTGTTAAATATGATTTTATGTCAATGATTGTATTTTCATAAGATTTTAGATCTTAAGATTTTGTCTGTGCATGAGGATGCTAATATTATGTGGGAGAAAGTGGCTAGTGATATTAAGAATATTGCAAAAGATGTCCTTGGAGTATCAAAGGGAAAAGCTCCCAATAGTAAAAATAGTTGGTGGTGAAATCCTAATGATCAAGAAAAAATTAAAAATAAGAAGCTTTGTTATAAAAATTGGTTTAATTTTAAAAATTCTGATAATTGGGAAATATATAAAGTGGCTCGTAAGGATGCTAAGAAAGCAATATACGATGCAAAGGCATTAGCTTTTAATGATTTATTTTTATGTTATAGGTAATTCAATTAAACTTACAAGTTTTAGGTTGAAAATTTTTTCTAAAGAAATAAATCGCTTTAAAAAACCCGGCAATCCCCCTCACCAAAACCCTATTCTTCTCAGCCAAACAGATCCAAATGGCTCTCAGCAAATCCTACGTTGCCGCCTCCCTTAGAATCCTCAGGACTCGTCCCCATACTTTACCCTCCAGCCTTCGCCTCCGCTCTGTCGCTCAACCGTTCCGCTTACTCTCCTTCGCCACCCCCGAGGAAGCTGCGGCCGAGCGCCGCCGCCGGAAACGCCGCCTCCGCATCGAACCCCCTCTCTCTTCCCACCGCCACCAAGCTTCACCCCGTCGTCCTCCGTCCCCAAAGAATGCTAACCCTAATGCCCCCAAGCTCGCTGAACCCGTCACTTCCCTTGCAGGCAACCGTCTCAATCTCCACAACCGCATCCTAACCCTAATCCGTGAGAACGATCTTGATGAGGCGTCCCTTCTCGTACGCCACTCCATCTACTCCAACTGCCGGCCCACAATCTTTACTTGCAATGCCGTGCTCGCCGCCCTCCTCCGCCAATGCCGCTACTCGGACCTCCTCTCTCTCCACCGCTTCATCACTCAGGCCAGCGTCGCCCCGACCGTCATCACCCATAACCTTCTCCTCCAGGCCTACTGCGACTGCCGCAAAACCGACACTGCCCTGGAGCATTACCGACTTATTGTCAAAGAAGATTCCTCACTAAATCCCTCGCCCAGCACCTATCGGATCCTTGTGAAGGGTCTCGTTGATAACAACAAGGTAGATCAGGCTGTAGATCTCAAGAATGACATGCTTGGTAAGGGCAACTGCCCTCCGGATGCCATTGTTTATAATCATCTCATGACTGGTTTTATTAGGAATGATGAACCGGATCGTGTTCTTGACTTGGTCGAAGAACTCAAGGAGAAGCTTTGTGTGGCTGTTGGAGATATTATATGTGATGGTATTGTGTATGGGAATCTAATGAAGGGGTATTTCAAGAAGGGGATGGCGCAGGAGGCCATTGATTTGTTTGAACGAGTTCTTGGAGATGGCTCCAAAGTAAGGTTTGGCCCCGTGAGCTATAATTTGGTTCTTGATGCATTGACAAAGAACGGGCGATTGGATGAGGCTATTGGATTGTTTGAAAGGATGATGAGGGAGCATGATCCGCCGAAGAGGATGGCAGTGAATTTAGGAAGCTTTAATGTGATGGTGGATGGCTTTTGCTTAGCTGGACGGTTTGAGGAAGCTATACAGGTTTTTAAGAGAAGGATGGGGGAGAAGAATTGCACCCCAGATGTTTTGTCCTATAATAATTTGATAGATCACCTTGGAAAGAATGGTTTGGTTACTGAGGCTGAAGATCTTTATAAGGAAATGGGTGAGAAGGGTTTCAATCCGGATGAATACACATATGTTTTGTTGGTTGAATCTTTTTTTGAGGTTGGAAGACCAGATGATGCTGTTGATTACTTCAATAAGATGGTGGAGTTTGGTTTGAGGCCAAATGCTAATGCATATAATAAGGTTATTGGAGGATTGGCTAACATTCAAAGGCTTGATGAGGCTCGAGTATTCTTGGATCGCATGTTGGAAAGGGAGGTAAAGCCAAATGTGAGGAGTTATGAGATATTGGTGCAGTCCTTTTGTGAGGCTGAAAGGCTTGATGATGCACTCAAGGCATTGAAGGATTTGTTGATGGATGATCTTAGCTTGAGTCTGGAAATGAAGGAGCTTGTGTTGGAGGCATTAAGGAAGGAATCGAGGGAGGAGGATTTCAAGAAGCTACTTGAAGATGTTGAGAGGGAGAAAGCTGAGGCAGCAGCCCGGGCTGCGGAAGAGAAGGCAAGAGCTGAAGCTCTTGCCAAGGAAGAGGAGGAGAGGAAGAAGGCGGAGAAAGCTGCTAAAGAGGCTGCTGCTGCTAGAGCAAGTGCTGCAGCTATTGAAGCAATATTGGGAAAAAAGAAGTCTACTGATAGCATCGAAGAGGATGAATCTTCTTCAAGTGTTGTTCCTGTCACAACTGCAAAAAAGATTGGAGACTGTGATTCCATCAATGAAGGATCATCAAAGGAAGTGATAGTTGACAACATTTTAACCGATGTGAAAAATGAAATTGGAGGTGCTACTTAGCAGGTAAAACTATCATAAATCGCATGTTAATTGAAGAACTTTATTTCACTGGAATTGATTGTTTGTGCTAATAGTTTAAGTTGCTATTGCAGATATAGGTTTTTATTGACTACTATATATGTTAATGGTTCTATATCATCATTATCGTTATCATCATCATTAATTTTGTTGTGAATATTTAGAGTTTATTTTTATGAATTATAGTTTTTCATTTATGTTATATGAATTATTTGGCGAACTAATATCTGCTAACATTTTGATCAACTCTTATCCTTATTACATTTGGTTTAATTTTTTTCCCACTCTAATCCTTCACCTTTATTTTTTTATCAACTATCTAAAGGTGCATCTTCTCACATTTATTGTATATGTTTGGAAGATTAAATTTATCTTTGATTACTCTATCTTCAATAGACGTTACCCTGCTATGGCTCTAATGTAATTATTCTTCAAAGTGTTCTTCTTAGTTTTATCACATTTCATGTTGATATTATTATTTCCTCCTTGCTCAACTAGGCATTCAATAACTTCTGAATTGCTTAATAATAAGATACATACAGTATGACTGACCTTATTATATTTTTATAAAAAATAACTTCAAGTTACATTGAGATTCTCTTATTGCATAAAATGCTCGAGATGCTTCTTTGGATTCTATTCTTCAATATAATAAATATTTTTCCATATATCATTAACTATATAAATTTATATCTTTGTTTATACTCTCATATTCCATATTATAAATCATACATATTTAAATTTTTGATATTTGTATATCATTTCGTATTCTGCTAGTATTATGATGTGCCTTGGTATTGAAAAACAGCAACAAACTCCAAGAGATTCAACACAAAAATATTTTTTTATTGATAGAAAATCAAATACGAACAAAGCAAGATACAATGATTCTCTTTTGAGAGGACTTCTCTCCCAAACCCTAGATGTTGCCAAGTTCCCTCAAAAAAAAAAAAAACTAAAGCACTCTCAAATTAAATTCTCTATACAAGCATAACATAAATTTTGCTACTTATAGTAAACAATAAAATAATAAATTCCAAAACAACTCTCCCCAATTTCCTCTCAAATCAGCCCGTAAATCAGCTCCCAAATCAGCCATCTCTAATTAGGAAATATCTCCTAATTAATATCCTCCAATTCAACCCCCAAATCAGTCCCAAATTTGATTTTTTTAATCAGGAAATGTCTCCTAATTAATCTCCTTCAAATTAGCCCTTTTTAATTAGAAAATATCTTATAATTAATCCCTTAATTCCTCTTCTCACATATGTAATGCTAGATTTAATGGGCCTTGCAAGGGGGTTTGAATTGCCCTCTCCCGTATTAATGCTCCTCTCCCCAAAATGCACCTTGTCCTCATGGTGAAAGGTAGGGAACTGTCTTCCGATTACCTCGTATGGCTCTCATGTGGCATCATACTGTGGCAGATCTATCCACTTGATTAACATCTTTTGTGCCTTTGTCTCCCCTTTATGCACACCCGATACTTCCAAGGGTTCCAAAATGACATCCATGTCCTCTGTCAAAGTCAAGGGAAGAGATGATGGTGGCTCTCCTATTGCCTTCCTCAGCTTTGAGACATGAAAGGCTTGGTGCAAAGATGATGAAGGTGATAGCCTCAATCGATAAGCTACTACTACAATACGCTTTATGACCTCATAAGGCCCAAAGTATCGTGGGGATAATTTCTCATTCTTTATTTTGGCTAGTGTTTTCTATTTGTAGGGCCTCAATTTTAAGCAAATCATATCTCTTGGTTCGAAGTTTACTTCTCTCATGTGCTCATCAGCCTTTCTTTCCATGATATGTGGGTTCTGAGCAAATGTCCCTTTAGCTTAGATAATATCTTGTCCCTTTCCTTTTAAGTACTACTCGATGCTGGACATGAGTGCAATGCTATACCCATAATGAATTAGATGGGGTGGATCTCTCCCATAGAGAATCCTAAAAAGAGTGGTCTTTACTGCTGAATGATATGAGGTATTGTACCAATATTCAGCTCATGCAATCAGCCTTGCCCAACTTTTTGACGTGTATTATACAAAGCATCTCAAATAGGTCTCTATGCTTATGTTGTTCACTTCTATTTGACTATTTGTTTGGGGATGGTATGATGCGCTTCTCTTCAGGATTGTCCTCTGCAAATGAAACAACTCTTTCCAAAAAGTGGCTAAGGAACACCTTATCCCTATCTTACATAATGAACTCTAGAAATCCATGCAAGCGTACCACCTCGTATAAAAATAATAGCCACAGAGATTGCCACTACAGGAAAACCCGTTATTACCGTCGGACTAAATCCGCCGGAAAACCATAGATTTCGACGGAAGCCTACGTTTCCGTTCGCACGTTTCGGCGGAAATTCATCCGCCGGTTTCGGCCGCGTCGATAAATTAATTTCTCGCGCGCTCAATTTGAGTCGGAAATTTCTCCGGCCAGTTTCCGGCGAACTACCGGCGAAACACGATCGTTTTCGACGTTGAAAAACGTCTTAATTCCGGCGCCATATCCGCCGTAAGTAGCGTCGCATGATGCGCGGCCATTTACACGGAGTATAACGACGCAAAGTTGTATGTAGGAAACCACGAACTCGCTTGAGACGCCAAAGTATACGCCGGTAATTACCGCGGACTGTGCAGGTAATTACGCCGGTAGGTTCCGTCAGAACAAAGGCGACAGTACATACATACGATTCTTGTAAGTCGTTTCCGGCGAACTTCCAGGCAATTCTGCCGGAAACCTGTAGCATTGCACAAAAAAAATTTCTTCCAGCCAACAATCAATTTTCACACCCTGCAAACCAATACAAATAACAATTCCACAACATTCAATTGTAACATTACAGCATGTCATCAATTTCACCACAGTTTCACACAGTTTTATAACATTAAAGAAACAATTCAGTACTAAACATCAACTAAACACATTATATTAAAAAGAAACTGTTCAAAAAACTGTACAGAGAAATAACAAGTTCAAATAAACTAAATAAACTACTCTGACCCGTGACTCCTCCTCAGGTGGCTACATCTTTTCCACTCAGCTGCTCCCTCATCTTGCGCATTCTCACAACTGATTGTTTTGCTGAATACTGTTGACCTGTGCTTGCAGCTGAGCTTGAACCTGTGCTTGCAGGCTAGCCTGCCATATAGCTTGTGATTTCCTACTTGTTCTAGCTCAGTTTGAAGGCACTTATTTGTTGAGCTTGAAGGACTCAGCGAACTGAATGCGAAGCTGGATGCAGTAAGAGATGTCATCCCCTCGTATGCCTGAGCTTGCCGCACCTAAGCCATACTACCTACATGCTGCTCCTCCGCGTACTCAGATACTCCACGATCAGCCGCCAGAAAGCCCTCACCTGATGCGGCATGAGTCTCTCGAATCGTGTATAATATCTCCTGTGAAAGTATAATATAAATATTATAGTTAAACTAAACTATGAAAATATTAAATATATATAAAATATAACTTACATAGGCTTTTCTATCTCTCATCAATCACTGTTATCAACTCCTGTCGCTTATGATTGCGACTATGCAATTCAACAGATTGATTCCCTACCAACCATCGCTTTCCTGTTTGAATTAAGAGAATTTTATTAATATAGATTAAGGACAATTTTAAAAAACATTTAAACTTCATTACCAAACGACGCCTGTGCTCAGTATGTGGAACAGACCCCTGTATGAATTGAACTTCCCACTACCAACTCAGAAGCTCGTTCTGTCGATTCTGATCCCTCTTCCTACTGTACTCTCGCTGCCCAAGCTGCATTTAACTCAGCCCATATACCTCTCCAATCCACAGTGGTCGCTTCCCGACTTTCTAATATCGTGAACATGTCGCGCATCCGGTAGACCCTGCCACGCTTCTCAAAATTCTTTCAACTGTCATTGTGTTGGGCAGCCAACCAAAACTCTTGATTTCTAATATTCACTAACCTATATATAAAGATAAAAAATAATGAATTTATATATATATCTAATTAGTAATCAAGATATCAACGCCACCTAAACCAAAGAGGCAAGATGTATATATTAGGTAAATAATATTTCTTTCCCGCTTAATTCCTCCATCCAAACATAACCAATATAAAGGCATTCCCAAAAGGTCGTTTGTTAGTTGATGAACATAATAGAAATTGAGCTCTTCATACTATTAATGCTTGTTGTTAAAAGCTTGATAACCACTAAACGAACCAAATATGAACCAAACATAAACTAAACTAAACATGAACCCCAATATTTTAAACAAACCAAACATGACAAAAATAATAAAGCTGAAACAAACACGAACCGAAATTGAACAAGCTATACTAAACAAGCTCAAACATGAATCACTCACAAACTCGGCTCGGCTCGATTCATTTGCAGCCCTAGCCATGACTAAAGAAAATATTAACTTAAAACAGATCATTGATGTAATCCAACTAAAATAGAAAAATATTTGGTCAAACACCTTGAATTTGAAACACAAGTAAAAACTTCTACATACATAACCTTAAAACTTAATAAGTATTATTAAGCTTCCTTTCCTAAAACTCTCAAGAGAACTTCTCTAGAACTTTATCAATTTTTTCCATCAAACCTCACAAAATATATGTCGCCTTCCATAGTAGTCCTACCCAACAAAAAGATGCACCAAACTACATCCTCTAGCAAAGTCTAGTGATAACAACCATGAACATAGAAAAAGATATGGACTTAAGGCTAATCTATATGTAATAACCGAAATCGCAAAAAAATTGAAAACAAAACCTTCGGTATCTCCTCTGGCGGGCGCACTAGGAGGAGAGAGGCGAAGTCCGTTGACCGTCGACGGCGAAGTCCGGTGACCGTCGGCGACGTCTAACCACGGCGAGCGACGAACGGCGATGGAGGGCGACGGGCGAAGCAGTCGAAGTGAGAGAATGGAAGGAAACGAATGACGGCCAGAGGGGTTCGGGTTCGCGAAATAGGGCTTTTACCGGCGGACGTTCCGCCGGTAATGACACTAGTGACGTCAGTATCAATTCCGACGTCTCATCCGTCGGATATATTTCGTTGAGTTTAAATACGCCGGCGCAATGTCCGCCGGTAAAATGCGCCGGAATGGTTCCGCCGTAACGTGCGACGGAAATGGTTGAGGCATCCCAATACCGTCGGAGTTGCCAGCGGAACATGCGTCGGTGAATTTACAGCGTATTTGGCGCCGGAAACGTTGACGCAAACTTTACGTTGAGAAAATCCGCCGGTAACTGCGCCGTTTATTACCGTCCAGAATATTCCGCCGGAAAATCCGACGGTATTCGCGTGTTTTCCCGTAGTGTGCAGTGTAAGGGAGCTTCAGAGAAATGAAGCGTGCATACTTGCTTAGATGATTCACTACTACTAGTATCATTGAAAACATAGAGTATAATTTTTGTAGTAATAGATCTATTGGGGGATTGTAATTTTAAGTGATCAAGTCATTAAAATAGTACACGTTTTAGATATCTCGGATCTATTGTTCAAAGTGATGGTGAAATAGATGGGGACGCTATTAGTTTAATTCAAGTTGGATGGTTAAAGTGGAGGAATGCATTGGGTGATAGAAATATACCTCTATAACTTAAGGGAAAATTCTCTAAAATGGTGGTGAGATCTGCAATACTTTATAGCACAGAATGTCGGCCATAAAAAGAGAAATATAAAATTAATTTAAGTGTTGCAGAGATGAGGATGCTCAGGTGGATGAGTGGCTTCACTCTTAGAGAAAAAATGTGAAACGAGCATATACATAAAAAGGTTGGATTAGCTCTAATAGCAGATAAGATTAGAGAGAGTTGCCTTAGATTGTTTGGACACAAAACGTCGGTCTTCTGATGACCTAGTTGAGAGAGTAGATGTATTAGATTTGGCCTATATTAAGAAAGGTATATGTCGACCTAAAAATTTTTTGTTAGAAATTATTAAAAATGACATTTCTTTTAGTAGAATTAAATGAGAATTGAACTCTTAATATGATACAATAAAAAAAAAATGTAGTCGATCCCATATAGTGGGATAAAGGCTTGGTATTTTTTTTTTTTGGGATTTTTACATACATAACACTTAAAAATTTCTTATTTACTCATCTAACATCTAAACTTGATTATTTACACACATACCACCTAAAACTTATTTAACTTTCTAAAATATCATTTTGTTTCCTCTCCGTCAAAATCCTCCTGTGAGCCCTCGCGCTCTCATTCACACACAAGAACTGATCCTCTGTGAGCCCTCACGCTCTCATTCGCACACAAGAATTGATCCCCAGGTCCTCTCCCATCTCCTCTTGTTCATGAAAACTGTCCGCTTGGAGTCAAGTATTGACGCTTCAGTTTCCCTTTTTTGAAGTCTGGGATGAAGATGATCTATAATCTGGTGTTCACTGATTTATTGTCGTCGATGGAGGTTGAAGTGTTGAAGAAAAATTGTGGGATTGACTGCGGATTGACTGGAGGTATGTGGGAATAATTCTGTTGACGCCGGATTGTGGGATTGACGCCGAAAAAATCTGGAGGCACATATATCTCTACAATCTGGCGTTCTATTTTTTTCTTTTGAATGCCTACATATTTTTGGGATTTTGCTTTATGTTGGAATAGAATCGTTTAAGTTCTGTTTTACCTTTTTTTAATTAGATACCGATTTTGGGAATTTAAATTCTGCTGTAATATAGCTATACATGTTCTTTTTTTCCTTTTGAATGAATTCTGTTGGAATAGAGCAATTTATGCTATGTCTTTGTCTTTTGAATGAATTCTGTTGGATTTGAGTGTTTGTGTGTTGGAATTGTGTGGAAAAGTTTCTGGGAATGGATTGCAAGAGGTGCTTGATGTAGGTGTGGACTGCTCCGATGCCAATCCTCCTGAAGGGCTGAATTCATCCTTTTGCACTTCAGATGTTCGGATAAAGGTGGTTGAAGGCGAGAGGGAGCAGGCGTAGGTTTTCACGAACAACAAGATGAATTTCGTGCGCGATCCGACTGGTTTTGAGGAGAGGAAGACGGAATGGTATTTTCGAAAGTCAAAGAAGTTTTAGGTGGTAGGTGTGTAAATAGGCAACTTTAGGTGTTAGATGAGTAAATAAGAAACTTTTAAGTGTTAAGTATGTAAAAATCCCTTTTTTTTGTTACATATATTGATTTAATGAGGGCATGTATTATTTTAATTATTATTTTTATACATTGTCAGCAAATTTAAACTACAAAACAAAGTGATTATTGAAAGAATGAAGTTCATAATGATAATGCCATTACACTACTACTATTAATACACATAACAAACATCACTATATACTTCAATACAAATAACTAGCGATGCATGAAAATAAACTCTAACAAATAATACAAACATTAATCGAATATGTTGGTCATTAGTGGTCTCTTCCTATAGCCGCTATCCACCGTGTCATGACAGCATGCGCCTTTTAATATAAGGTTTCCTGTTCTTTCTCTTGTGGTAGATTTTCAGCTACGATACCTTCATCAATAGGCCCACCTAATGTAGGAAAGTAAAAGCTCTGAATTCTTGTACACTAAAGCTAACCCAATATTGCATTCTATGAGCTATTTGCGAGTGCATTTTTGTGCCAGAATTGTGGAAAAGTAAGGGAGGCCAGAAGCAAGAAGAGGATATAATTTCTCTCTTATTATCTCTCTCATGCCTCATTGTGCCTATTTGATAAACCCAAATTACAGCCTCTTAATTAGGGTCGCTTAATCCCTTTTGACAATGTACTGCCATTGCTTAACTCTCCTTGTCCATCTCTTCTTCCTCATCATCCTTGTCATCTTCATCACTAGATGCGCAATCGCCAGCTTCGCCAAAAGGGTAAGGGTACCTTTGCTAGAATCAATCAAAGATTTGGAGGCAAAGAAGACGACTCAATAGACGTGGCAAGGATTTGTGCATATGTTCAATGGTATTTCAGTTTTTTTTTTGCAAATGGTTAAACTCAATCGCTCAGAGAAAATGGTTGACGAATAGCTGTGATGTTTTGAGTGAGATGGAGTTATGAATAACGTGTTTTGGTAAAAGCAGTTCTTCCAAACACATTTAATTCATTTTACTATTTAAATATGGAAAAACACTAATAATGTTGAACCGAACAAGTTCTTAAGAACGGGCTGGAAAATATATGAAGTTGCTAACATTGGATAACGATATTTGTGATAATTTGTCCAAATTGTAGCTTATCATAGCTTTAGAACCATTATTTTCAATCTTCAGTTTTAGAAAATACAAATGAAAATATACCTTATTTATTTATTTCTTTTCAATACCAATAGTTGAAATATCTTGCGCGCATTCTTACTGTTTATTCTTTTTTTAGCTAATTTAATGTAATGTACGATGGATATATCTTTTCCTTTTTCTTACTCTTCCTCCTCTCTCTACTATAACTTGGATAATATGATGATTTTATGTATCTTTATTCATTCTTTTATTAACTTTGTGTATATGGTGGATTGGTTGGTTTTGATTATCCCAAATTTATTTGATTTTGTAAAGATGAAGCAATTTTTGAAATCTCTCATTTTCAACTTTAACAGGAAGAAATGTAGAGTAGCCTTGAAGGTAGACGAAATATTGAGAACATGGAAGAAAAATATAGCAGAATCATTTAGCAAATGCTTAAAGATATTTGAGGAGTTGAAAATGGGCAAAATTATGGTTGATAAATCATCGCCCATCTCTTTATAAAGGATGTTATCATTCTATTTGAAGGGAACACATTATCAGTGTCGAATTTACGTGGGAAGAAGGAATCATGTCAAAAAAGATGACTTAAATATATTTGATAGTCATGTGTAAAATATTGCGGGAATGCACCTTTAGGAATGCATATTTTTTATTAGAATGTTGAGTTAGAAGGAGCGTATTAATACACTAATATATGTGAAAATTTGAAAAGGGTTCGTTATTGGACCATGTATTTGATTCACCAAATACATCATTATTTTATACTCTTTGATATATATGGCGCAACCCAATCTTCGTTTTGAGAATTTCTATTTCTAATGGAATTGATCACCTTCTTAATCTTTTTTATTAATTAGAAAAATGACATGTTCTTCTTTCTGGAAAAAAGGAAAAGAAGATAAAGGATTAATTCATTCTTGATAGTCATTTATTTAATCAGCGAATAGTAGCATACTCTAGATCGGAATCTTGGGGAAGTACTGCTTGATCATTTCTACCAATTTCACGCCCTTGTTATGATTCATTTTATGCAAAGTTTTATGCAAAAATACCTTTTTTTGATACCTTGCGTTATTTTCATTACTCATCCTTTGTGTAATTTGGTGTTCCCAACTGCCCACTTCTTTTTGATAGATCCCCAATATATGCCTTTTTTTTGTATTTATTTAAAGCATGATAGTGAAAAAAAAAATAGAATAAATACGAAAGTCATATAAAAGGAGATGTAGGTGTAATATTGAAGGGAGTGCATTATTGAGGTCCAATGTTAAGCTAGCTGAAAGAAATATTAAAAAAGGTGATTTTGATAATGTTGTTCGTCACAACAAAAATATTATGAAAATGTATATTGTGTCATGCATATTTTGGAATTAAGTCATGCATTTTTTTCATTCATTTGAATTGTTATAGAGAAGAAAGGCGAACACATGAAAATAACTATAAAAATGAAGGAAAATGTAACAACAATATTTGAAGGGAGCATATTATTGCAATCTAATCTTAAGCTAAAAAAAGGAAGCAAATCAAACAAGATAATTTCAATATAGTGGTAGTTGTGACTAAGATATTTTGAAAATGCACATTGCGCCATGCATATTTTATTTTTTTTTTAAATATAGAGTTAGAGGGAAAATAGTAACATATTAATATATGCTTTTATTCCTATTTTTATTAATTTAAAGCATGAAGGTGAAAAAAGGGAACATGAATGATAGGAAGTCATTTACAAAGGGTGGGAGATGTGAATGTTATATTTGAAGGGAGTGTATTATTGAAGTTCATTCTTAAGTCAGAAGAAAAAATCATATCAATTAAGATGATTTCAATAAATTGGATGGTTATTATTAATATGTTTTAGAAATGTATATTATGGCATACATATTTTATTTGTTAGAATATAAATTGATAAGGAAAATAATAACACATTAATATGTACTTGTAGGTTTTTTAATTTATTTAAAGCATTATGTTGAAGAAAAGTGAATGCATATGAAAGAAGTCATATAAAAAGGGATGAAGATGTAAAAACAAAGCTCATAGAATTATAATAAATGTTAATCATATGTTTTTTTTTTTTGATACAAGTAACTAATTACATTAAGGAATACCCCTAGGATGCTGCCCTACATAAGTATATTTTCTTACAAATTACTGAATAAGAATAATGAAAGAGCTCTTTAAATAACAAAATTTAAGTATTTGAGTTTTTTAAGGTTTTTTGTTGAATTCTTTTAGGATACTTGAATAATAATATTTAATGAATTATAAATTTCATTGACATCTTAAAGTTCATGGGATTATCAGTCATTTATATTGTGCAGGTTTTAATATTTATAATATAAATGTTAGAAATAAGTGTAAAATTCGTACAAAAATATCTCACAGTTCATTACTTTTATAAGGTTCAATAAATTATCAATGAACTAATTATGGGTCTCTGAAAGGATGCTGCTAGTGGGATCAGAATGCAAAGAGTACGATCGTACTATTCTGTATAATAAAACTATCACGACTTGGCTTGGTAAGCTCGCGTATGCGAGGCGGGAACAGAGGTCGGACGGTAGACTAAAATATCTAATTTCTAGAACTATCACCTTAACATTTGAAAAGCCTCTAAAACATCAAATTTGAAATCACATAAACATAAAATCAATAATATTCATAAAGTTATTTTTCTTCAGGAGCTCCTCTTCTACGATAAGCATTTTCTCCCCTTCTACTTATTTGTTTTATTAATTTAAGCTTACCTGAAAAATGTTAACAACTAATATTAAGCCGAAGCTCAGTAAGTAAAATATAATTCTAAACAACAGTAATTATGACAAACTTCATAATATGCTAGATGCCACATTTCATATGAACATAACATTAAATGATTTTCTAAAAACATGCAATTAAATATATCATATCATAAAACCATTCTTTCATTTTCATTTCTATTTCCATATTCATATCGATATACTTAGATTTCTCATTTCGTATATATTACAATCATCATAGGAGCCACCGTCTAGTACCATAAAGGTACTCCTTTACCATTTCCTTTTCCATATCCTTTACCATTTTAACATGCACGAGTACAACGTCCCCATCTAGTACTATAAGGGAGTGAGCTCCATCTATTCAGTATGTACATACAAGCATTCAATATAACATTCATATCATCTCATATCATTTTATTTCTATTACATATACAATTTGTTTGATAATGTCATAATATATAACATATGAATTGTATGATCAATTATTGGATAAAAATAACATAATCATGAGTTAAAAGAGACCTAAAAAAATTTCATAAACATGCTTGAACTTTTAAAACATAAAACTGGAGAGAAAACAAAAGTATTACTGAAATAAAGAATCATGTATAATTACAGAAATTAGAAATTTTATATCTCTTTGCTAATCCTCCTTTCTTCAAGGTCACCATGATTATCACCTATAAATATTAATATTTTTTTCAAAATTATTCATAATAAATCTAAATTAAAGTTCTCATTCTCTTTCTAAACTATCCTAAGTTCTTTCTCTCCATCTTTCTCTCTACAAATGATGACATAAAGCAAATATATTCTAAAAATTTAAAATTTTGTATAATTACATATTTTAACCAAAATAACCCTTTTTTCATAACCTAAATTAATTTAAAATAATTTATATTTTTGAATTTAAAATAATTAGAAAATAAGAAAATACCATTTTGTAAGAAAAACTCAATTTCTTTTCTTAAAAACCCTCTTAGGACCCTTAGGAACTACATTTGCAAAAGCACTTTCAAAATTTTCAACTTTAGAGAAAAACTCTAATTTTTCCAACTCAATATTTTTAAAGAAAAATCACATTTCTATGCATAAAAATGTCTTCTAAACCTTCCCTACATATCTCCTAAAGAAAATAAGAAGTTTCTATCAAAACCTAACTTTTTCATCTCAAAAAAACCAAGGGAAAGATAGGGATTTCTATGTTTAGAAATGTACCTTAGTGCTCCTTAGGCTTTCCCCTATAATTTCCTTCCAAGAACCTCGCCGGAGAAGTCGTCGGAGCCGCCGCCCTTCGCTTCTTGTCTGCTCCATTCTAGTGTTCAATTGAATGGAACCGTGCGGGAGAAATGAAATGGGGAGGGGAGGGTTCGGTCTTCTTAACATGAGGTAAATGGGATGTCAAAAAGACTTATTTGCCCTCACTTAAACTATCCAAGCCTTAATAATTTCTAAGGGTATTATGGATATTATGAGATTTCTACTAATAATACCCATAATATCCTTAGAAATTATTAAGGCTTGGATAGTTTAAGTGAGGATAAATAGAAATCTTATAATACCCATAATACCCTTAGAAATTATTAAGGTTTGGATAGTTTAAGTGAGGGCAAATAGATCTTTCTGGCATGACATTTTCCTCATGTTAAGAAGACTGAACCCTCCCCTCCCCATTTCATTTCTCTCGCAAGGTTCCATTCGATCGAACGCTAGAAGAGGCGCGGACAGGAGGCGACACAAGGTGACGGGTGGAGGCTCCGACGACTTCTCCGGCGAGGTTCTTGGAAGGAAATTGTAGGGGAAAGCCTAAGGAGCACTAAGGTACATTTCTAAACTTAGAAATCCTATCTTTTCCTTGGTTTTTTTGAGATTAAAAAGTTAGGGTTTAGTAGAAACTTATCATTTTCTTTAGAAGATGTGTAGGGAAGGTTTAGGAAATATTTTTTATGCATAGAAATATGATTTTTCTTTAAAAGTATTGAGTTGAAAAAATTAGGGTTTTTCTCTAAAGTTGGAAATTTTGAAAGTGCTTTGTAAATGTGATTCCTAAGGGTCTTAAGAGGGTTTTTAAGAAAATAAATTGAGTTTTTCTTACAAAATCTTATTTTCCTATTTTTTAAATTATTTTAAATCCGAAAATAGAAATTATTTTAAATTAATTTAGGTTATGGAAAAAGGATTATTTTGGTTAAAATATATAATTATATAAAATTTTGAATTTTTAGAATATATTTTGCTTTATGTGATCATTTGGAGAGAGGGAGAGGGAGAGAAAGAACTTAGGATAGTTTAAAAAGAGAATGAGAATTTTAATTTAGATTTATTATGAAGAATTTTGAAAAAAAATATTAATGTTTATAGGTGATAATCGTGGTGACCATGAATGAAGGATGATTAGCAAAGGGAAATAAAATTCCTAATTTCTGTAAGTATACATGATTCTTTATTTTAGTAATACTTTTATTTTCTCTCAAGTTTTATATTTTAAAAGTCCAACCATATTTATGAAAATTTTTAAGGCCCTTTTTAGATCATGATTATGTTATTTTTGTCCAATTATTAATCATACAATTCATATATTATATCTTATGACATTATCATACAAAGTGCATATATAATAGAAATGAAATGATATGAGATGATATGAATGTTATATTGAATGCTTGTATATACATGCTGAATAGATAGAGCTCACTCTCTTATGGTACTATCTGGGGACGTTGTACTCGTGTACGTTAAAATGATAAATGATATGGAAAAGAAAATGGTAAAGGAGTGTCTTTATGGTACTGGACGGTGGCTCCTGTAACGGTTGTAATATATACGAAATGAGAAAGCTAAGTATATCGATATGAATATGGAAATAAAAATGAAAGAATAGTTTTATGATATAATATGTTTAATTACATGTTTTTAAAAAAATCATTTA